AAAATCGACCGCTAATGCCACGTAACGTGTCACCACACAAACATTGGGGATATAACTGGAGCTCATTGTGGTCACGGATCGTATGATGCTTCGTCGCGATGTTGAACATCTTCGCGCCGAACACAGCCCAGAGAAGCGCGAGCCATCCTGACAAAGCGTAGCCAGTTTCCTGTAGCGCGCCGCGACTGTAGACTGTGCCTGAACTCACGGTCGGGCGTCGGGGGCGGTCGGAGGGTCTGAACTGGACGGGAGCCCCTTCAAATCAATCCAGAGGGGAGACGAATCCAAATCCACTCAACATCTATCCCTGGACCCCTCCCGGGGTCCATCGGGTGGGATTTTTCACCCCATATCCACTTTTGAAGGTTCCAGGGGCCCGAAAACGGCCCCCAGTGGCCGAATAAGTAAAGAAACCTGTTCGAAACCAGAACCTCGAACATCTTCCCCCCAATCGACTCCAAGTAGCCGGTTTCTTGTAACGCGTCGCGACTGTGGACCGCGTCTGAACGCATGGTCGAGCACACACGCGTTTGTCCGCGACCGGATATTGGGCGCTGCCAAAAGGATGAGCGATAATGGGGGGCCGAAACAACGTATACCTTTCGTGCACCTTTTGCAACCCAGAAGGCACACTTAGGGCCCCTGAGGTGCACGAAAGGTGCATCGTTCTTCCCCCCCCTTGATCGCCGCCCAACTACGCAACGCCCGAGGAAACAATAACTACAACCGCTCCGGCGCCGAACGCAAGCGGCGCGCACGGGACATCAATGCGCAATCGCCAGCTGCTTCGCCAACCGATTACACAATTGGTGAGGCCAGGCTTGGCCCAGCGTCTAACCGCGAGTCGTCCTCCATATGAATACCCGAGATGCAGATGGACTGTGGGGGGGCTCCTGGTGTCCTAAACAAGGCTCGACCTAAACGATGTGTTCCGTGTTTGTTTTGTTTTTGTTTTCCCTCGCTGTCGTCGCCCCGCATTTGCTGCAAAGCGACATCGAGACGAAAACGGTCGACGAAATCACCCAGACACCGCTCGGGTGAGCCCTGGCCCCAAACTTTCTAGAGCTGGTCCTGAAGCGGAGGATTGGCCATGTTGCCACCGCCACGCTGCTGAGAAACTTGGCAGGAAGGAAGCGTGTGCTGAAGAAACGGATCCCCGACCCCCGGTCTCTCCTCCCCCCGGACAGATTCTTCATCCTGAGCCGGTGTTCGACCGTTGTGGGGCACGTGGAGGGCACAGTGACGTAACAATTGCGAAACACCTCGGGCCCCGCTTCCCTCGGGACTCACATCCTTCCTGGCGAGGACCTATGGGCGAGGTTGGAACTGAGCTCAGCGTGGGCTCACCCCCACTAATCTAATTTAAATGACTGTAGGCCTTCCAAATGGGGTCCGAGCAGATGGGGTCGGAGGATCGCGCCGCATCGACGATGCATCACCGATGAATCGGCGACGCCGTATCGACGACGATGGCGATGCGGCGGCAACGCCCGCGTGGAGAAGATCGGGCTCCACATCGAGCCGCATCGCCCATGCCTCGGTGATGCGGCGCGACCCGTCGACCCCATCTGCTCGGACCCCCTTTCGGGAGGCCTCACATGAAAAACGCACGGTGTGATGCGTGTGCACACCGCGGCCTGGCCCTCTCTCGTGCCCGAATTCGACCCAGCGCGCCGAGCCGGCGGCCAGCCCCGGCCAGTGCCTGGGCGACCCATGCAGACAGCCAGCAGCCATACATTCGGCGGCGCGCCCGGGGGGCAGGCGAGAAGGAGCAGGCCTTCGCAGACGGCGGCGGGACTCCTCAGCAGCCCTCGCGCGTTCTGAAACATGTTCTGCATCTTCGGGGAAGGCTTCGAAAACTTCTCAAAAAGGCCGGAGACATCCAGGGCTTTCTGAGAAGGCCCGCCCCCTCTCACTCCCCCCCCTGGGCGCGCTGCCGATACCTGCTTCTCGTTTCAGTTGAATGCCCTGTTCCTCCCCTGGCAAGGCTGCGGCTTGCGCGTGAACAGGCCCCCGCCCAGGCCGGCCTCCATGGGCTCCCCGAGCAGTCCCAGCTGGCCTCGGCAAGGTCAGCCGAGGCTTCGCCCGTGGGCAACCAGACAGATAACACGGTACGCGGACGCCTCGGCCGGGGGCCTCCCTGGAGGGCCCGGCGGCATTGGTGGGACTGGTGGGGTGGGAAGGGCACGAGCACGAAGCCTGGTAGATGACCTGGGGTGCGGATGCCTGCCGCCGTGTAGCGAGGCCTCCCTGGAGGGTCAAGCGAAGCGGACGAGACCGGTGGGGTGGGAAGGGCATGACGGTATGCGGATGCGTGCCGCTGTCCAGGGGAAGCCTCCCCAGGCGGCACGGGTGGGATGGGGAGAGCACGAAACCAGATAAATAACAGTATGCGGATGCCTGCTGCGGTCTAGCAGCGCCGCGAATTCGACAAACCACGCAACACTGGCGCCTCGTACCGCGCGGGGTCGCGGAAGGCATCCGCCCCAACGCGCCCGGGGTCGAGCCGAGCACGCGCAGGGCCCTTCGACAGCGCGCAGCACATGCCGCGCCCAATGATCGCGCTGCGCAGGGGACGCGCGCTGCCTATCACGCACGGGAGCCGCGAGCACCAGCAAGCCCAGCGCTGGGGGAAGCAAAACCCCTGGGGGGACTGGGGAAAGGTTCGTGGGATGCGCTTGCGGCGGACCTCGTTTGGCGCTTCCCCCGTCGCCGTCGCCGTCGTCGCCGTCGCCGTCGTCGCCGTCGCCGTCGCCGTCGCCGTCGCCGTCGCCGTCGCCGTCGCCGTCGCCGTCGCCGTCGCCGTCGCCGTCGCCGTCGCCGTCGCCGTCGTCGTCGTCGTCGTCGTCGTCGTCGTCGTCGTCGTCGTCGTCGTCGTCGTCCGGGACGAAGCTTCCTCCCGTGTCTCATCCCGACGGACCCGCGCGGCCTCCACTTCTGATGGCGAGGCAGCGCGCAGGAAGCCCGCGGGAGCGGGAGAAGGAACGACGTGGGACCATGGATGTCACAGCCTAGCGCGTACACGCACGTTTTCCACCGACGGACTAGTGGGTTGCAGCCGGCGGTGGAAGCCAGCCAAGCACTCTGAGAATAATGATCACCCACCTGTGGACCGGAAAGAAAAACTGAAGCGAGGGCGAGCGTCGGACGCAGAATCCAGCCGAACTGATTTTGCACACACACACATTCGCACATCCGCACGCAAGCACAAGCGCGCACACGCACGCGCACGCGCACAAACACACGCAGGCGCCACGCGCACACGCACACGCACGCGCACTAACAAACACACACACACACAACACACACACACACGCGCACATAGCACACACACACGTATAATCCCACCAGCCCTCTGGGCGTAGGTGGTCTAGAGCAGATCCTCTTCCACCCCTCCCTCTTCCCCCTTGGGGAGGGGTTTACCCCTCCCCCTACCCCCTCCCCTGGACCTGGACGGGGGGGGCCGCGGGTAGTTAGAGCGTCCCAGATGGCCCAAGACGGCTCCAAGAGCGCCTCAGAGAACCCAAGATGAGCTCCAAGATGGCTCAAGATAGCGCAAGATCGCTCGAGATGGCTCCTAAGATGGTTCCAAGAAGCCCAAAGACGGCCCCAAGATAACTCCAAGTGGCCAAACAGCTCCCCAAGGAGGCCCCGAAGAGGCCAAAATCGTCCCAAAACCTAAGGAAAATCAATGATTTTTGCTTTCTCGCCTTTTCGCTTCCGATGGCCATCCGAGGCCTGGAGATGGTTCCAAGATGGCCCAAGAGGGCCCCAAGAGAGCCCCAAAAGAGCCCCAAGACGGCCCCAAGAGCGCCCAAGAGCACTCCAAGAGCGTTCCAAGAGGGGTCCAAGAGGCGATTTTAGGGGCTTCCGAGGGGGGACGCTAATTAAACCCCCCCTCTTGTTTGATCGATCTCCTCCAAGATGGCCCCAAGAAGCGCCCAGGAAGCCCCAAGAGGTCCCAAGATGGCCCCAAAATGGCCCCAAGAGGCCCCCAAGAGGCCCCCCGGAGGCCCCCAAGAGACCCCCAAGAGGCCCCAAGAGCCCCCCCAGATGCACCCAAGATGCTCCAAGAGGCCTCGGCGAGAATGCCTAATCATTGATTCTACACAGGTTTTAGCCACATGGAGGCCTCTTGGGGGGGGGCACGGATTAAGATGACTCCAAGAGCGTCTGGGAGAGCCCAAAATGACCTCCAAGATGGCTCAAGATATCCCAAGATGTCTCATAATGGCTTCCTCTGTGTGCTGCCCACTTCTCTGATCGAGGCAATTCCTCTGGGCATCGTTTCTGGATGGGCTGGTGGGGATTCGCGAAGCGACAACAATTACACTTATGCTTACACTTACACGTACACCTACAACTGACACTTACACTTACAATTGCACTAACACTCAGACTTACCGGTACACGTACACGTACACGTACACGTACACTGAAATTTGCACTTACAAATGTACTTACACTTAGACTTACACTTACCCTTACATGTACACTAGCACTTACGCTTACACTTACATTTACATCTACACTTACACTTATTTGCACTTGCACTTAAACTTAATATTCACAATTTGAGCATAGCGGCCGCGCGCGCAGCGACAAAACGGAGTCAGCCAGCAGAGAGCTCAAGGAGTGAGGCCGAAGCGTCCAAAGGGCGGCCGGGAACTCACGCACCACCGCGAATGGAGCACAAGGTTCGCCCATAGGGAACCACACCACGCAGACAGAGCGCCCACCGCTGTAGAGGAACAAGAAGCGGCATAAGCCCAATTTTCTCTGAGATCCGCGCGGATTTTTCAGATCGGCGCTAGACCCCCGCCCCCAGCGCGTGGAGCGCGCCAGGGGCGGCGACCGAGAAGCCGCCAGGGGGACCGAACGCCAATCCAAGAAATCCGCACGGAGCTCCGAAGGTCTACGTGTATGTCGCTGTTGCTTCTTCTTCGACGCTGTCTCCCAGCAGCCTCACCTCGGCCTTCCCGAGCAACGGGAGGCCGGCCTCAGGCGCCGCCCGCCTCCACCGCCGGCGACCCGCGAGCAGAGATGGCCTTGGACCTGGGCGGGCGCGCAGGGCTGCTGCTGGTCGTGGGGAGTGGGGCGAGAAGGAGAAGGGGGGCTGCTGCTACAGGGCAGCTTTTAATACATAGGATTGTTTAAAATATTGAATTCAATACAGTACTAATGTATGAATCAATTCATGCATGGACTCATCGTTGTTTTTACTACTACATCCCTGCATTTCGAATACATGATCCGCACGCGGAGCATGTATCAAACACGGCACTCTACTGCTGCTGCTGCTCCATCAATCTTCCTGATAGCCAACTCCTCCCTGTCGCCCCCCCAGACGTGACGGCAGGGCGTGGCCGGCGTTTCGCCTGAATCTGCCTCACCACTCATGACCCACAGACTTGAAATTGACAACACCTTCACGGGTGGAGGGCGGGCACCTTTCAAAGCGTGGCTATCTGTCTTGTCGTCTACACGCGTCTCAAAAGCCTGCAACCGTTTCAAGGATGAGGGCAAACGGTTTTCAACATGTCGGTTTCGCCGCAGCGCCGCACACATTCGGTTTGAAAGCTCGCACCGCTCTCAAGACTTCGTATGTTCCGTACCTGGAATTGTGTTCTGGACTGGTTAAATGATTGTCAGGACGCAACAGTCACGTTGATTTGCGGTGCTGAAGTCCCAGGAACGGTGTCCTGGCAAGACGATAGATCGTCAGGACGCAATCGTCACGTTTATTCGCGGCGTTGGCATCCCAATAATGGTGTTTTTGGACGATTGAGGATTTTCAAAGAGGTTGCCTTCCACTGGGGCACTCCCCGCAGTTGGAATAAAGTCTTGTAGAGACGTATGAAGAGGGACCTTGGAGGGAGCGTTTATTGCAGCATGGTTGATGCGCCTGGGTTTTACACTGGTACTCCTCCTCTTCCTTCTCTTCCTGCTCCTCCTGCTCTTCCTCCTCCTCCTCCACTTCCTCCTCATTTCCCTCTTTCTCCTCTACGCTGTCCGTGGCCATTTAGGCTCAAGCCGCCCGCGGCGGGCGAACCCGCCTTGGCTCGAGCCGCCGCCCAGGTGCGCTCGGATTCAGTGCCGCTGGGGGAGCGCTGCTGCGACGCTTCGGAACGGCGCAGGACGCCGCTGCCCCGATGGGGGATAGCGCGGCAAAAGAGTGTTCGTGGCGCGGCGCAGCTGGCGCCCGAGCGTCCGCGGATTGACTGGCGGAGCGCCTCGTCGACCAGCGGGCGCAGGCGGAGGAGCGCTATTCGGAAGTGCTGTCCATGCTGGAGTCCCTCTTCGGGAACGCCGACCTCCTGATGGGTGTCCAGGCCCGCCTTCCTGTGCTCCAGTCCTTGGTCGCAGGGGAGGTCCCGTCTTTCGAGTGTCGGCCGGGGCGCAACGTCGCGCTGCACGCCGCTTCCGAAGGCCTCGACCTGGTGCATGGCTGCATCCACAGGACCTCCGCAGGGCTCAGGAGCCGCGGCCGAGCGGCGCGGCGGCCGCTACTGCTGGGCCTCGTGCTGGCGCTCCCGATCCCCGACGGAGGCAGTGGGGAAACCAAATGGTACCGATACCGCTATTCCCCAGACCTCTCCCAGGGTACGTTCTGACCAAAAGCTCGTGGCGAGTCCTGCGGTGGCGACGGGGGCCTCCGAGGCGGCACAAAAAGGGGAAAACGCGGGAAGGGTAGCGATATGGGTACCCTTTCCTCCTGCGAGGCAACTATGCACATGCGGTGCTGTGCTGTTAGCGGGCTGCGCCCAAGAGCTGCTGCCGGAACCCGCGCGGACCGGGTCGGAGCCAACGGCCTCTCCGGAGGTGTCCGAGAAGGTCGACACGCGGCATCGGCGCCACGGACTCGCCCTCGTCCTTCCCCTCGGCGTATGCCACCCTCGTGCCGCTGGAGCAGGTGCAGATGCATGCCGAGCTGTACGTGGCCGAGCGAGCGAGCGGGGGCGCGCGGGGTTTCGAGCTCAGCCATTTGCTCAGGGGCCGCTCAGGGGCCGCCGCTCCGATGCCCGCCGCTGTGCTCTGCGCGGTGGCAGGGCGCTACGGTCAGAAACCTTTGATCAACGTGTCGCATCGGCGGCCCTTCAAGCGGACAGCGTATAGCTCCGCTTCGCGAATCGGGAGGCTGGGAAAAGATCGAGACGCTGACGCTCGGGGACTGGGACGTGGATAGCGCGTCGCGCCGAAGCTTAGTGGGTCAGAACCGGCGGCGCAACACGCTAAGCCAAAGTTCTTGACTGTAGAACACCTGCGAGATGTCCGACAGGGTTCCTGCAATTCTCTAAGGGCGACCCCACCCGAACTTTGACGCACGCCTTCTAAGACCGCACCTCATCGAATTTCCAGATCTCTTTACGGCGCCCTCTCTTTGACGGCGCCCTGCTTGGCCTCCAGATCTCCAGATCACCCAAGACCGCTACAGGACGGCTGCGAGGTGTCGCCAAGACCAGCCACAGCTCACCAAAGACGGCAGAGGCTCCAAGGTATCCCGAAGAGGCCCCCGAGCGGCTCCAAGAAGCCCACAAGAGATGCCATGAGACCCAGCGATGCTCGAAGGTGCGATGCCAACGGAATTCCGATGTTTTCCTCTTCCGAGGCTTTACGGCTGCAGATCGCACCTGGAAAGCTCCAGGGAGCCTCGAGGTGGCAGGTGTTCGAAAGCAGCTGACTTGGCTTGATCTCAGTGCTGAATGCTTATTGCTCGACCGCGCACGCACAATCCTTCTCTGCGCCCCTTGAGAAGGCAACCGCTAATACAGGAAATCGTTAGTTTTTCCGACGATCGCCCAGGAGATGCTGGCCGATCACCCACCTTTTCGCCTTGAGCAGCGCCACTTATGCCCGCGCGCACCACTACTGCGCACCCCCATTCGGACCTTCGCAAACGACAAGGTCCGATGATTGGGGGGGAAGGGGGGCGGGCCCGATGACCCAGGGCATCGCCAGACACTGAACAAAATTTTATCCAGGGAGGTGCCTTGTCCTCGCGCTGCTGGCTTCGGCACAAGCGGCACTATTTGTGTGTGTGTGTGTCGATGTCCGCCGGATATTCGATTCAGTCCGGATCGTCATCCGCCACTTCCGCGCACAGCAGAGACCCCAATGAGGAGACAGAGGACGAGGACAAGAAAGACCATGAGGCGAAAAGAAGAAGAGGAAACGCGAAAGCGCCAACACGCCGAAAAGCGCTCTGGAGGTAGATATGGGGGGGCTGCAAGATGGCCTCCAAGACGGCCCCCTGAAGGGCCCAAGAGGGCCACTAGACGGCCCAATGAGGCCAAGATGCCCCCAAGAGGCCCCGTAAAGGTTGAGGCTCCATAATAAAGACCCCCAAGAGGCCCCCAAGAGGCCCAAAGAAGAGGCATCCTTTTCCTACATCTCCTCCTCCTCCGCATCGTCATCCCTCGGCCTTCTGAGAAAATTTCGGGGACTTCCCCGAAGACACGAACAAACTCTCAAAAGGCGCGAGGGCTTTTGAGGAGTCCGGCCGCCTTCTGAGAAGGCCTTCTCCTTCTCACTTCCCCCCCTCGCTCGCCGCCGACAAAAGGCGGGGGGGCGGCGGCGGTTCGCCGCAGGCGCCTTCGATGTGCGAGGCTTCTGTCTGACACGCTCGGAGGAGGTGGAAAGTGAAGAGGCACGGGGCGCCCCGAACGGGGGAGGGGCTCATGGAGAAAGTGAGGAGGAGGGGGAGGAGGAGGGAGAGGTGGAGACGGGGGAGGAGGAGGGGGAGGACTTCCGAACAGAGTGCGGTTTGTTCCAGACATCCTCTCCCAGCGAACTGAAAAACAAGACGATCGACTGTTCACCATGTTCGACCTCCGATGGCCCTCACCGGGCCCCAGGGCCGTCGCAGCGGGAAGGCCAGCTCATCATTTTGCGACGCGCCCAGGGGGAAGGCACAGGAGGCGGGTCCTCTCAGGGGGCGAAGAAGGCCTCTGGCCTTCCGAAAAGCTTCCGAAGCCTTCTCCGACACCACACGGGGCTTCTCAGAGACCAGAGGACTTCTGAGACCCGCCGCCTTCTAAAGAGTCCTATCCCCTCTCACTTCCCCCCTCGGCACACCGCCGAATCATGACGCGCGGAGCCCCAACCAGTCCATGTCCCACATGTCGGCGTCCGTGTCTTTCACGGCAGTCTCCTGCGGGCATCGGGAGATCCAAAGGGAAGTGCAGCAACGAACTGGGACTGCACGCTCACATCGCGAACATGAAGGAGAAGAAGCCGTATTGCAAAACAGAGGCGGGGGAGGGAGCGCAAGGAACTTCTGTCTCGCAGGGTCATGTGTGCCCTCCTCCGCGCTGCACCAGCCTTGGCAGATGCACTCTTTTGGAGCAGCGATTGTCTGAGGGCCCGTGCTCCTCTTGTGTCTTGAAGAATCAGGAATGCGCACCGGCGTGCGTGAACAACGAAGCCCCTACATTATGTAATGTATTGTCCAGCAGTTGGATGGTGCCCTCGATGTCCCTCCTCCTCCTCCTCCTCCTCCTCCTCCTCTAAATCCTCCTCCTCATCCTCCTCCTCCTCATCATCATCATCATCAGCATCAGCATCAGCATCAGCATCAGCATCAGCTTCATCATCATCAGCATCATCATCAGCATCATCATCATAATCATCATCATCATCAGCATCATCAGCATCAGCATCAGCATCAGCATCATCCTCATGTTCTTCATCCTTGTCCTCCTCCTCCTCCTCCTCCTCCTCCTTCCGAGCGTATGGGAGCAGAGGGGACGGGGAAAGATATGGGGCGGTCTTGAGCGTGCTGCGCCAAAGCTTGATGGGCCAGCCCTGGAGCCGTGACACGCGGAGCAAAGGTTCCTGACCATAGGCTAGTCGCCCTGAGGGACCCAGGGCCACTGAGAGGGATAGGTCTATGGGTCAACTGCGGCAGGTTCGTGTCGTGTCGGTTTCGGCGTTGGATCTGACACCGGGTGTATCGTGCAACCTTGAACGGTCGGCAGATCTACGATCGCCAGATCGTTTCGCTTTGGTCGACTCTTGGCCACCAGAGGCGTGCAAGCTTTGACGCCCGCGGCAGGGTCGCAACTGCGTCGAGACGACACGCACCTGACGTGCCTTCGCGCACCGCGCCCCGCGAGGCGCGACGCCTGTTCATCCTCGCGCCATCGCGCCATCGCGCCATCGCGCCGCCCGCCCTGGAGGAGGGCAACCGCCCTAGACCAGGCCGCGACGCACGAAACGCGATTGCACACCGGCCAGAAGAGGTGGGTAGAACCTCAGAGGAAGAAAAGGTACCCATACCGCTACCCCTCGCCAGTTTTCCCCCTTTTTGGGCCTCCTGGGAGGCCCTCGTCGCCACCCCTGGATTCGCCTCGAAATCCTGGTCATAACGCACCCCGGGAGAGGTCTGGGGGGTAGCGGTGTCGGTGCCTTTTGGTTCTCCTCAACCATGTAGTAGGAAAGCTCTGGAAGTAGATTGAATTTCCGCCCGCCCGCTGAAGAGGAGGGGAGAGGGAGAGCCGCTCGACTCTTGAAGTAAGAGGGCGCCCAAAGTAGATTGGGGACCTAGGAGTCCAAAAATATCTACTTTCAACGACCGCGTGTATCTTGGCGCCCCTGGCGGTGCCCTGCATATATGTCTAATATTTCGCCGAAGTTGGTCTGTGGGACGCAAGTTTATGAGGTCGTCATCGTCGTCGTCGCCGCCACCACCGCCGTGGTCGCCATCGTGTCGTCGTCGTCGTCGTCGTCGAGGTCCTCGTCGTCGTCGTCGACGTCGTTGTCGTCAAGGTCGTCGTCGTCGTCGGGTCGTCGTCGTCGTCGTCGTCGAGGTCGTCGTTGTCGTCGTCGTCGAGGTCGTCGTCGTCGGTGTCGTCGTCAAGGTCGTCGCTGTCGTCGTCAAGGTCACCGCTGTCGTCGTCGTTGTCGTCGTGTCGTCGAGGTCGTCGTCCTCGTCGAGGTCGTCGTCGATGTTGTCGTCGAGGTTGTCGTCGAGGTCGTCGCCGTCAACGTCAGCGAAGTCGTCGTCGTCGTCGAGGTCGTCGTCGTCGTCGTCGCCGTCGTCCAGGTCGCGGTCGTCGAGGTCGTCGGGGTCGTTGTCGCCGTCGTCGTCGTTCGTCGGCAAGGGCACCGAGGCAGCCGAGGTCGTCGAGGTCATCGGTGTCGTCAAAATCGTCGTCGTGGTCGTGGTCGTCGTCGTCGCCGCCGTCGTCGCCGCCGCCGTCGTCGCCGTCAAGGTCGTCGTCGTCGTCGTCGAGGTCGTCGAGGTCGTCGTCGTCGTCGAGAGCGCCATCGTCGTTGTCGTCGACATCATCGTCGCCATGGTCGAGGTCATGATCGTCGTCGTCGTCGTCGAGGTCGTCGTCGAAATCGTAGTCGTCGTCGTTGTCGACGTGTTCGTCGTCGTCGTTGTCGAGGTCGTCGAGGTCGTCGTCGTCGTCGCCGTCGTCGTTGTCGAGGTCGTCGTCGTCGTCGCCGTCGTCTGCGTCGTCGTTCCCCCCTTCCCTCGGCGGAGCATGGGGAAGCGAGAGCGGCGTCTCCTCGCCCTCGGGCTCGTCGTGCTCGTCCAAGTCCTCTGCGAGCCCGCCCCCTCCGCCTCCCTTGGGACGCAGAGAGACTTACGAATACTACTGAGACCCTCTCGGAGGAGCACGCCCGACCAGAACATGCAGCACACAATCTTACAGCCTGTTAGACTCCAGGCGGCGTGACCACAAAACAGCAGCCACGGCGTTCACACTGGATAAGATGCTCTTGTGTCTGCGTGGATTCTGTGGCTACGGCGCACACACAGCAGCAGTATGTCTGGGTGTCGACGACCCCTGCCCGCAGGCAGAGTCTTGCCGCGGGGGGCCTCGGCTAGGGCACGAAGCCCCGAATGGGCACCAAACCTGCGCGCGGGTGCACGAGGAGCGCCAGAGGGAGAGCCCGCGGAAGAACCTGGGGGGGGGGCATCGGGCCCCTTTTCGAACTCGAGGTGGGCCTCGTTCCAAAGGTCTGGCCGTCACCCTATTCTCCCCCCTGACCTCGGCACTCGGAACGGCGGGGTCAGGCTGGGAATGGGCGCGGGGAGCCCTTCCTGAACATCGCTCAACTGATCCCCATCCCAAGCGGCGTGGCCTGGGCCCCACTGGCCGATTTAGCCCCCCAGATTGGGATATAGGCCGTTTCCTTCGGGTTTCGAGGGGTGCATCCCCAAAATTGGTGGGGGTCTCGAAGGAGATGAGGATGGGGATGGGGGTCGGTGAAACGATATTGGCTTCCGACCTCCAGGGTCGGACTCTGAGGAAGCCTGACAGCGACCTGGCAGCCTGGAGGAGGAGGAGGAGGAGGAGGAGGAGGAGGAGGAGGAGAGCTGCAACTCGATTCCGAATCGGATACCGGCTGGGCTCACGTCTTCTCTCGGCCTGTGTGGGCCCCGCCTCGTCCTTGTCTGCTTCCTCTTCCTACTCCTCCTCCTCCTCCCCCTCCTCCCCCTCCTCCCCCTCCTCCTCCGCCTCCTCCTCCTCCTCTTCTTATCATCCAATCTCGCTGTCCTTGCTTCTCTTCGTCGCTTGATGATCAATGTCGTCGAAAGTTCCACCAGCCCTCTGGGCGTAAGTGTTCTAGGGCGTTTCCTCTTCCACCCCCCTGCTTCCCCTTTCGGGGAGGGATCTATCACTGCTCCTTATTGATATTCACACCCTCCCCCACCCGGCCGGCGGCCAACCCAGAACCATGCCGACTCCATGTTGGCCTGCCCCCCCACCATCCCTGTCAAAAACAATACAATACGCACTCTGCCTTTAACATTTGGAGCATGCGAGGCCAACCCGATGCGGCCTCCCCACCATCCCTGTCAGAAAACAATGCAAAGTACATGTTTGGGCAACGTCTTGAGTCATGTTCGTGAGGCCCGCGAGCACTTTGTATTTTTTTTGGCAAGGACGGCGGGGGTGTAAGCATATTCCCTGCTGTGCGCAGGGCTACCACCCCTGAACAATTATCCCAGTGCGACCCTACCTAGGAGTTGGGACCCCTAGGAAAGCAGCATTAGTAGTAACAGTAACGCTAAGCTAAAGCTAAGCGAAAGCTAAGCTGAAGCTAAGCTAAAGCTAAGCTAAAGCTAAGCTAAAGCTAAGCTAAAGCTAAGCTAAAGCTAAGCTAAAGCTAAGCTAAAGCTAAGCTAAAGCTAAGCTAAAGCTAAGCTAACGCTAAGCTAAAGCTAAGCTAAAGCTCAGCTAAAGCTAACCTAGAGCTAAGCTACAGCTAAGCTAAAGCTAAGCTAAAGCTAAGCTAAACGCTAAGCGAAAAGCTAAGCGAAACGCTACGCTAAAGCTAAGCTACAGCTAAGCTAAAGCTAAAGCTAAAGCTAAAGCTAAAGCTAAAGCTAAAGCTCCCAGGAGACTGGGGGAACCGCGGGGCGGGGACTGGGGGAACCGCCCGGGGCGCTTTCCACTGCCCGGCCCCTTTAAGCTAGAGAGTAAGAACCCTTCTAGGCAGAGCCTAGGTAGGGAAAAACAATACAACATGCACCTCGCGGCTAAATCTGGGTCATGCGCGGCCACCCCGCGATCACAGTCAAGTGGTTTTTGACAGGGACGGCGGGAGTGGTGGCGCGTGGCCTGCTGTGCGCAGGCCCACCAGACACACTGATGGGCATGGGCTTTCGACAAGCGTGGCGGGGGCCGACATGTTTCCCCATATGCGCTGTCACGTGCGGAGGCGCACCTGACGCACTCTGCACGTGCCCCGAACGTGGCGCACTTGGCGCGGCTGGAGTGTGCGGCACACCTGGCGCACTCGGAGCACGTGGCGCATCTGGCGCATCAGGCGTCTGCTCCTCCCGAGTACTCTTGCGCAATAAGAGGCCTTTGGCAAAACCCCGTCGGATGCCGCCGCGTGCTGTGGCCACGTCGACGCGCGCCACCCCTCTACAGCAGGTTCTTATCGTGCCGACTTCGGCGTTGTTTTCTGACACCGCGGTGGTCGTTCAGCCTTGGACGATCGGCCGCTTCCAAAACGTCAGATCGTTCAACATCGACAAATTCTGCGTCGCCGCCGGTCGACACGACGCAAGCCCACCGTACCCAGAGAACCCCATGCGCACCCCAAGTGAGCCCAGGAGGCCCTTGAAGGCTCCAGGAGGCTCCAGAGGCCCCAGGATCGGAAGTCCCAGGAGGCATGATCATCACACCGCATGCCCGAACCTCATGGGGTGCACGCGCTGCTCTAGGCGCTGTGAACTACTCTGGACAACACTACGGCAAGGAAGTTTGGGATGGCATGTCGCGGCGGCGGCCCCGGCGACACGCTGTGCCATGCGAATGGATAGCGCGTCGCTCCGCTGTGTGGGGCGGGAGGCTCGGAAAACTCGGAACGTTGACGCCTCGGGACCAGGAAGTGGATAGCATGACGCGCCGCAAAGCGGGAGGCCACAACTGGCGGAGCGACATGCTAAACGTTCCCGATCGTATGCCGAAGAGGACACGGGAAGGGAGAGTTCAAGGGGAAAATCGGCCAGCCCTTTAGGAGCGCAAGGGTGGGGACCGTGCTGTTGGACTGCTGAATATTGTTGCTCGTATTAGATCTTATGATGTCACAAGCCAAAACGCGACCGCTGGGAAAACGGCAACACTCTCATACCCCAGCCTGGCTGATCTGGAGGTAGATGTTCCCCTTCTGGCTGTTCGCGTTTTTATCGATCATGTCCATCACGCGAGCCTCGGACTGTATCAATCGCGCGCCATATGCAGCACGCGCAGAAACACCGCGCGCTGCGACAATACCTGTGCAGGCGCGTTGGTGCCTGTACGGCCAGACACACATGTGCTGAGGCGAATACATACCCATACGCAAGCTCAGATTCAACGCCATCTTGCGAAGATATTTCACATCCCATGCCGTGAAGAGCCAGGGCAGCGAAGTCGGAAGCAAAGACGACTGGCGCAAGAGGTAAAACATCGCGTATAATCACCTCGTCGACGTATACCACCGCCCACCCTACATTCCTCAAAAGACCCCGCAAACGAACTCTCGGAAACGCCACCGACAGCCCCCTGGCCCCAGAAGCGACATTACCTTCAAAACATGCAATAAGTGTACAACAATGCATGCAATCCCCTGTCTCATCGACACCAGCTCGTGAGGCGAGACGACACACTCAAAGTACTAAGATCAGCGACGGAGACGAACCGCACAGCCCTTCATTCTGCGTGCTTATCCCCCTTTCTGCGACTGCTCCTCCCACTCCTCCACGGCTGATCCAAGAGACCGTGGCTCACCCTGCAAATTCTGGCGCGAAACTGCGCCTCGTCCATCTGCTGTTCCTGCTGCTGCTGCTGCTCCTCCGCCTCCTCCCCCTCGTCCGGCTCCGAGTCATCCGTCTGGATAACTACTGGTTGGCTCCTCGAGTGAGCAGCCGAAGCGGCCCGCGAGGGATGCTGTCCGTTGGCTTCAGCTCTCGGCAGGGTTGCTCGTGGGGCTGCGCCGCGTGGGCGGCCCCAGAACCCCCTTCATCCTCGTACTCCTCCCGCCCCGATTCCTTATCCTCCCCCTCCCTCCTCCTTCTCCTCCACTTCCTGAACCGCCACCCTTGGAAGGGCGAGGCCTCGAGATGTCGCATCACACACACATCATGCCGCCTAACTTACACAACATAGTTTACACCACACTGTTTGCACCGCATGACTCGCACCACACAACGCACACCACACAGCTTATACGGCATCCCATAGTATGTATCACACCAAACCTAGCATACCAAGTAATTCATAACACGTAGCTTACATCGCATAGTTCACACCACATGGCTCACACCAAACAACCTGTGACGCTTACATAGTTTTTGCCGCATAGCCCACAAAGCATAGCTTGAACCGCACAACGTTCACCTCCACAGTGTAGTCACTCGATGTTTGCGGTCCACGATTGCTACCGTGTTCCCACCGGGCAATGCGAGCTGGCGCCTCAGGGAGACATCGATCAGTGCTGAAAACCTGTTCGGGCGGCACCTCGAATAGCCCTTAGGCTGGCAGCGTGTGGCCATCTCTGGCCCTACTGCTGGCTGGCACTGTGGAATTGGAGCAGACCGGGATTCCATTTCGCACACGAGTTTGATGGAGATGGAGGATTGGATCACAGACGTCTTATCCCCCAATGACCAATGACCAATGCGTCACGATCGGTCTGGCGACCGCGAGAAAAAGTCTGCACATACCCTAGCCAAGTACTTCATGATTGCGAAATTGCCTTAATGGATGTAACTACGCGTTGCAGCTGCGTCAGGCAAGATCGTCCAATGTACTGCTCCATCGACGGATGTCTGCGGTCGCCGTCGTCCACGGCCCGCCGGTCCGCTCCAACAATTTGCGCAATGACGTTTTCCGTCCTCAGGTGCGGAACTTCCAGCAGTGCAGTTGGTTGCCCTTGTGGGCTGCCATGAATTTCTGCAACCAGGCCCAATATTTGCACCCCATTACCTGGTAACTCAAGCTGGTTGGGTCGTGATTGCCTACTCTCTGTAATTATCCAGCCCACTTGAAAAAAATACAAAAACTCTTTGCGTCCCACTTCTCAATCTTGGCATGGGACAACGCAATCTGAACCCGTCTGCTTGTCCTGGAGAAGAATGCGTCTTCTCGTCCTCCTGCTCCTCCTCCTCCTCCTCCTCCTCCTCTGTCTCCTCCTCCTCCCTGCCAATCCTGATTCCCCACTAGGGACGCGCTCTCCTCCCTCCTTAAACAAGAAGACGTCAGGGACCAGCCTGGACCATCGCGAGCCGGCCCCGCGAATGCAACATCTGCTGTCGCATCATCGCCTTCCGGGGGCAATAGGGGTCGATGAGGGGAGGAGGGTCATCGATCCTCGAAGTCCGACCTCTTCCTCCTCCTCCTCATCCACCTCCTCCTCTCCTCCTCCTGTTTCTCCTCATCACATCATCGTCAACTGTATCATCATCAACATCATCAACGAAGTGACCCAAATGACCCGCATGATCGTGATATTGATGATGAACATCCTCATACTCATCATCATCAGCAGCATCATCATCAACGTCGTCATCATCAGCATCATCATCATCATCAGCAGCACCAGCATCAGCATCACCATCAGCATCATCATCACTATAATCAGCAGCGTTGTCATTATCGCCATCATCACCATCACGACCAGCACCGCCACCACCACTATGATGATGAGGAGGATTCTCATCATCATCACCATCATCAGCATCATCAGCAGCATCATCATCATCATCATCATCATCATTATCCTCATCACCATCACCATCACCACCACCATCATTCATTATCTCCCGCATCAGTATCAGCATCCTCATAATCCACATCATCACCACGACCTTCCTTATCACCCTCGCCATCATGGTCACCATCCTCATCATCATCATCATCATCATCATCGTCATCATCATCATCCTCATCCTACGCATCATCATGAGCATCAACATCATCATCGTCACCATCACGATCGGCACCGTCATCAGTACCATCATCATCCTCGTCACAATCATCAACATCATCATCAGCATCATCATCATGATCGTCATCGTCATCATCATCAGCATCGTCATCGTCATCGTCATCATCAGCATCAGCATCAAATTCAAATTCATCACCATGTTCACATACATAATCATCATCATTGCCATCACCACCACCACCATCACCATCACACCACCATCACTATCACGATCACCATCATCGCTCCTCCGCCTCCTCCACTCTCTCCTCCTCATCCTCCTCCCTTCCTCATCATCCTCGTGAGTCCTGAATCTCGAAGGCAGGAAAATTGTCCAGACGTTGCCCTCCCCGATCCCAGGGCTGCTCGGCCCTACGGGGGTTGACGAAACTAACAACAAGGTGCTGGCTGGCACTGGCTGTGGCGAAGAGGTGATATGCAAATGCAGGACAGACAATAAACAGACACGGGAAGGGAGGGAGGAGAGAGGGACCTGATCAAACTTACCATTCTAGTTAAACTGGCAACAGAGGTTGTGGAAGGCAACGCAACGCCTGAGTAGGTGTGCTGGCGCGGGTGGCGTTCGCTCCGCGGCCGCTCTGGCAAACGCTGGTGAGATGCCCATCCGACCCCCACCGGTTAACGGCCCTCCCCGCCCTCCCATCCCTACGCCACAAGAGCGGGTTGATGAAGGTTGCACGTCGGTCGGAAGAACTAAGTACAAAAACATGAAGTGGGAAGGCGGGCCAAGTAGATTGGGCTCAGACCTTCTCAAGGAACAAACAAACACAGCGAAAACATATCGATTATTGAAGTCGGAAAGCGCTTGAAGTAGATTGGGATCTGAGAATCCAGAAATACCTGCGTCCAGCGACCAGCGTGTAGTGGGGCTAAGATGGGGGGATCGGGTCCTCTCAAAACCAGTGGAAGAGATGCTCTTCGTTTGCAACCTCCGAAACCCGAGCTCGCAGCTGGTGATTAAGGCCCCCACCAAGGAAGCGCACAAGAGAGAGCTCTATCCACAAATATGATGGACCTTGCGCTCTCTGCAAATGTGTCGAGGTAGACTGTGAACCTTGCTGGCGCGAAGTGGCGGGTGGCCCGCGGCTGCCCTGGCCGACGCCAAGCTCACCGAACGGCATGTTTGCCCATCCCCCCAATCCAACGGATAAATCCCATCCGTCCCTCCGCCACAAGAGTGGGTAGGTGAAGGCTAGCGGGGCGAAGTGGTGGGAGCGGGGGCTGCAAAAAGGTGGGCCACGAGGGAGTGCGAGGGTTGGGCGAGTGCGTGCCGCCGTCATGGAATAGTGAGATGGTGGAGAAAAGTGTATTTAGTGCGGGCCAGCTGTTGCTGCTGCTGTGAGTGCTGTGCACGTAGGTCAAGGTACCCAGTGAGTGTGGCGGCTTGGTAGAAGCGTAATGCCGAGGTGTGGACGTGGGATTGAACAGCTGGTGACTGGTAATGTCTGCTACCAGTAGGAGCAGCATTGGTATAAACAAGAGCGTGAGGAGGGTGACACACTGATGGGCCGCTGCTCGTCCGGTCCCATCGTGACGTATGTGCCTCGTCGGTTATGAGTGATCAGGGGGGGTCTCCTGGTTCACCAGGCTGGTCGGCTGGTCGAGCTGGTATGCGTGTGCCACGGTTCCCATTGGTTCCCATGCCCATGCTGGCTCCGCTCCACTTGGGCTGGCAGTGTCGCTTGTCAGCTGCTGAGGTCGCGTCGGCTTGGGACCTGCGTCCATGGTGTTGGCACCGTTTATGGTTCCCCCTCCTCCTCTTCCTCCTCCTCCTGGTCCTCCTCGTTTTTGCGTTCGTTGATTGTTGTTGTCCTCCTCCTCCTCCTCCTCCTCCTCCTCCTCCTCCTCCTCATCATCATCATCATCATCATCATCATCATCATCATCATCATCATCATCATCATCATCATCATCAACATCATCATCAGCATCATCATTATCATCATCATCAGCATCATCATCATCGTCATCATCGTCATCATCATCACCATCATCATCATCACCATCACCATCATCAACATCATCATCATCATCCTCTTCCTCCTTCTCCTTCTCCTTCTCCTCCTCCTCCATCTCCTCCTCCTCCTCCTCCTCCTCCTCCTCCTCCTCCTCCTCCTCCTCCTCTTCCTCCTCCTCAACATCCATTTCCTCCTCCTCCTCCGCCTCCTCCTCCTTCTCTGACGACCACGACGATGACGATGACGACGTTGAAGACGACGACGACCACAAAGTCCGCCCGAGGCCACCGAAGGTCACCAAGGGCCCCCCGAGGGACGAAGGCCGCCCTGAGCCCACCGACGGCCGCCCAGGGCCAGCCGAGAGCCGCCCGCCAAAGAGCCCTCGCAGACTGGCCGAGGGGCTGCCGAAGGGGCCCGCCGAGGGGGGCCAGACGAGGGACCGCGGAGGGGGGGCGGCGAGGCGAGCCTCCTGGTCCTGCAGCGCCTCCGCCCTGCGCCGCAGCTCCTGCGGCCCCGCATCGAGGGGCCCCCGACGGGCACGCGGGCCTCCCCCAGGGGAGGGAGCCCATCCTCCTCCTCCTCCTCCTCCTCCTCCTCCTCCTCCTCCTCCTCCTCTTCCTCCCCTCCTCCTCCTCCTCCTCATTTCCTTCTCCTTTCTCTTTCTCCTCCTCCTCCTCCTCCTCGTCCTCCTCCTGATTGTTCCTCCTCCGTTCTCCTCCTTTCCTCCTCCTTTCCTCCTCCTCCTCCTCCTCCTCCTCCTCCTCCTCCTCCTCCCCCTCCCTTCACCTCCTCCCTCCTCCTCCTCCTCCGCCTGTTCCTCCTCCTCCTTCTCCTCCTCCTCCTGCCTTGCCTCCCTTCCAGCCCCCCTCACCTCCTGCCAGGGCGAGGCTTGCATCGCATGGGAGCCTCCTATGAAATCTTGCCGGCCCTTACTGACCGACACTGGCCAACGCTAATCGACGCTGAGACGACGCTAAATCGACGCTGAATCGGCGCCTTCTCATCGACTACCAGGTGCTAGCGCACGCTAATGCACTTTAGAAACGAGATTACGAGGACATACATGGCTCCCAGGAGTTGCTACCGAACACAGAGGTGGGAGGCAACTCCTGGGAGGTTTTCGTACTGAGATCATCGCAGGGGGTTGTCATGGGGACAGGGGGTTTAGAAGTGGATGCTAAGACGGGTTCTGCCTGGCCGAACCTGGCTTAGAAGTGGGCTACAAGTGCCCCAGGTAGCTTAGGGTAATTAGACAAGTCCGCAAGGTGGGATCCGCCCACTTAGACCAGATCTGCCCCACCTAGACCACGCAAGGCTTTTGCGCCCCACTTAAAAGCCAGGTTAGGCCAGAGATAACTAATCATAGCATCCTTCTATCCCTACAGCCGATTTCTGTAAAGCCGCTCTTGCCACAAACTAATGCTTGGCGACGGCGCCGCCTCAAAATGCACTGGATACGAAATACTGAAGTTGGTGAACTGTATGCTGGCGACAGCGCGATTAGTGAACCACTAAGTGCAGTGCCCTCGGCGCGCTATCGAGATTTGGGCGGGGGCTGACATACATAACTCCCGCCCGCAAGCGAACACCTACATCTCGCATTGCTTCACTCAACTCGGCGGTGGCGTCGCAAATAACTGCTCCACATAACAACCCAACCGAAAAATCAAAAAGTAGGAGTAAGGGCCACTGAGACTGACTAAGGGGCAATTGAACCGGATTAGCCCAACAAGCCCAGGATTGAACCCGGGATTCAGCTGGATCAAGCGGGATCAAATGTCGGGAAGTCGGATTAAGTCGTGGCTCGAGCACCGAAATACCAGCGCCGACGCGAATTTAACCTCCCAGAAGTTGTTTCCTGGCTAGAGCGCGTTTCTTGATGTTCGGCGATGACGGGCGTCATGGGGGGGGGCGAAGGGGGGGTATGACGTAACGACCCCCCCCCCGTGGCTCTGGCACCGCATCCGCGCCCGCGCGCGCGACGCGACGAGCGACGAGCGACGACGACGACGGCGACGACGACGACGCGAGCAGCATGTAGGTGGCGATATGCCCCACTGCGCCTGTGTACATCACAACGTTCGCGTGCACCACAGCGCGCGTGTTTACCACAGCGCCTGCGTACACCGCAACAACCGTGTGCAACGAAGCGCCTGTGTACACCACAGTGCTTGCGTACACTACAGCGCCGGTGTCTGCAGCTATCATGTGCAACACAGCGCCTGTGAACACCACAGTGCTTGCGTGCACCGCAACGCCTGTGTACGCCACAGCGCGTGTCTAGACAACAGCATCCGCGTGCAACGCAGCGCTGGTGTACACCACAATGCTTGCGTGCGTAGGACAGGTAGATGGAGCATGTACGTGAGGATCAGCTGCGGACAACTAGGCGCCATGCCAGGAAAATGCTGATAATCGAATGCGACGTTCTTCCCTTCACCTTCCACCTCCACCTCCACCACCTCCTCCTCCTTCTCCTCCTTCTCCTCCTCCCCCTCCTTACCCCCTATCGAGCGGGTTGGCGCTACAGCGCACGTGCGCATCTCAGCGCGCACCGCAAAATGGTCTATTGAATCGGTCAACTTGGTTCTCGGACGGCCAATTTAGCCGGAGCCTCCTGAACGCAGACGGGAGGAGTTAGGGTGATGCGGGCGGACTCGGGAGTACTCGTAGATTCCAGCAGCGCTCCTTTGTCCATAAAGATTATTTTCTATGGTTTTCAGCGGAATTCTCAAGCACTCCATTTTGTCATAGGATTCGTTAAAAAATTCGATATACAACAGTGGTGCTGCGTTGCACACGGTTGCTGTGGTGCACACAGGCGCCGTGGTGCACACAGGCACTGCAATGCACGCAGGCATTGTGGTGTACACTGGTGCTGTATTGCACACGGCTGATGTGGTGTACGCAAACGCTGCGGTGTGCACAAGAGCTGTTGTGCCCGCAGGCACGGTGGCACAAACTGACGCTGTGTTGCACGCGGCTGCTGTGGTGTACATAGGCGGTGTGGTATACACAGGCGCAGTGGTGCACGCAGGCACTGTGGTGTACACAAGCGTTGTAGTGCAAGTCGCCACCGACATGCTGGCGCCACCCGTCCGCCGTCATTCCAAAACATTCCCAAATGCCGCCGGCGCGAAACGTGACGACATCGAACCCCTCCACAACCCCCCTAGATGATTGCCGTCATCGGCCCGGAATAAAAAACAAGCTTCAGTCGCGTCCTCGCGCACGACGACTATGAGCGATGAGCGACAAGCCGCGAGCGACGACGACGACGATGACGACGACGACTGCGGACCAGACTCCTATGCGGATTCCTACGCGGACACCTACGCGGATCCCAAAACGCACGGCGGCAGCGCCCGGAGCGCGCTGGGGGGGGGGAGCGTTACGTCATAGGGGGGGGGGAGAGGGGGCCATGACGACCGCCATGCCCCAAGCAATAAAGAAACGGGCTCCTGAGGGCAGGGGAGCGGACCAGCAGGGGCTGGAGCCAAGTCCGAGGCTCAAGGTATTCACTGTCGGTGCCTGGGTGCCTGGAGGTTTTTCTGCGTCTGGGTGCTTTCCAGCAGCTTCGCCTCGCCGAGAGCGTCCCAGGGGTACCCCAATCGTCCCGAACGGCCGCCAGAGACCCAAACCACGACCCGAAAGCAAAACTCCCTGCGTCTTGAAAAAAAAAACGGAAGGTTTGGGCAATGTTCGGCCTCCGGGGGCCCTCACCCAGGCCCGTGACCGCCATAACACGACTCGGGATGGAAAGTGGGTCCTTCGGGGTCGTTGCGACAAGATGACAACCTCGGAGGACTCGGAACGGGGTCCGAGGAGACGAGGTCCTAGGTTGGAGGCGGCAGGGGGGTCTGAACTGGTTGGGGCCCCTGAAAGTGTGTCAGGAGGGGGAAACCAGCCTCGAACTTATCCCTATCCCTAAGATGGGCGAGCGAAAAGCGAGGACTATCTTAGGGATGTGCCCTCAGAAACTGAGGGAATCCTTGAGATCAGCATCGAGGTGAAGTGATGCCAAACACAGGGATAGGGATATGTTTCAAACTGGCGAGGGGGGATGGGGCCAAATCCGCTCAAAAACAATCCCCAGGCCCCTCCCGGCGTCCATCTGGTGCAGTTTTCCACCCCCGATCCGCTGCTGACGGTCCCTTGCAGGGGCCCGAAAACTGTCCCCAAAGGCCGAAAAAGTTGTGGACGACGACCAAATGGAGAGGAAGCATGTTGCCACATAATTTCCAGATGTCTAAATCATGTTTTATACATGTCTTAAATATGTGGAACACATGGTTAAGATATGCTTAAAACATTTACCGACATTCAAAACACATCTTGGATTCAATGATCGGATTGTTAGGGAGTGTTGGGGTGCCCATCGTCATGGCATCCACAACGAGAAAGGCAAAATACCTTACCGAACCCAGCGCCTCACACCTGCACCCCCTTTCTGCTCGCCGGAACCAATGTCATGCCACCTCAGATACCCAGCCCGCTCCAAGTCGGAGGACCAGACCCGCAGCGTTCGGAACTGTGAAGACATCGCGGCGGGCACCCACGTGCGCCGTTTCTGCAGCGCGCTCAGCTCGGCGTCGAGGCGCACACTGGAACCCACGAGACGAGCCTTGGAGGCGTGGCTGCCCAGCAGCTTGCAGGCCTAAGCTGGACCAAATCGCGATATCGGATCGGGTCGGAAAGGGATCGGATCGACAGCGAATCGTCGCGAATCGAAGCGGAATCGGATCTCCGCGCCAGGCTCCTGCTGGGTGCTGGCCGATGCCGGTGAATCGGACCGAATCGGATCGAATCGGAGTCGCAGCCACAACCAGCGCATCGAATCGCATCGAGTCGGATCGTAGGCGGCCCTGGCTTGTGGGCGGCGACGGCGGTCCACGCATGGTGTGCACTGCGGTGGGCCTTTTTGTAAGGGGCCAGGGAAAGGCAACGAGGTGCAGCGCGCATGAAGAAAACTGGCAACTTCCGAACTGATGGCATGGGGTCTCCACCATGCAGGGACGGTCCTGATGGGAGGGGAAGAGGGCAACGAAAAAGGAAAGAAAGAAACAACCGCGAAGAAAGCCAGATTAATACGTCCGCAGATCCAGAGATTAATCCAAAGGGGGGGTGGTAGAAAATTGATCACCACAGAAATGAACCGCAAGATTAGAAACACGCGTCTGACACGCGCAGATTGGCCCCAGAGAGAGAGAGAGGGAGAGCTACGATGTTCAGAGATTCGTCGCATTAAAACAAGCGCTGACTGACTGGAACTACGGCTCAAAAGCGTCGACGGTCCGTGCTGGACTGCAGAGTGTCCCAAGGAACAATCCCAATGGCCTCCGATCGTAAGAGCGCCGTCTCCAGCCGCCCATCTTCCGCAGGAGGGCCTCCAAAGTATGGTGGGCTCTTGCCCCCTCCCGCTCCGCCATCACGTCTCACCAGGCCTCCCAGATCCAGAGTGGATGGCGTCGGAAAATTGCGCTGCATCGCCGATGCATCGGCGACGACGGGATGGAGAAAACTGGGCTTTGAGTCGAGCCGCATCGCCGATGCATCGGCGATGCGGCGCGATCCTGTGACATGGTCTGTTTGTTCGGGCCCCAGGGGGGACCTCGCAGTCGTCGTCGGTGTTCGAGGTTCGAGGTTCGAGGAGAGTCGATGTTCGAGGATGGGAGTTCGGAGATAGGGTCACCTGGGCCTTCTCTGAGCCTCCAGGGGAGCCCTCGTGGCCATGGCTGGGATTGCCCTCGAAGTTCTCGCCAAAACGCATCACAGGAGAGGACTGGGGGTCGTCGTCAGTCGTCACTATCGTCGCGGTCGTCGTCGTCGTCGTCGTCGTCGTCGTCGTCGTTGCTTTCGATCGGCGTCGTTGTCGTCGCCGTCGTCGTCGTCGTCGGTCGTCGGTCGTCGGTCTTCGTCGTCGAAGTCGACGTCGACGTCGACTTCGACGTCACCACCGTCATCCTCCTCGTCGTCGTCGATCTGCGCGGGGGCGGAAGGAGGGAGCAAGGGAAAGGTCGTGAAATACCAGACCCGGACCTCCGAGGTCGCGATTTTTCCCCAACTTTCCCCAAGACTGGCTCTTCATCTTGAGCCGTGTTCTGACGGCCCTGGGGACCGGCAAGGGCCCCGAGAGATCCATAATAATCAAAAGCCCTGTGGGATGAGGTCGGGGGAGGTGTCCCTGTCCCCGAGGTGCCCCGGGCCCCACTGACTGCAGAGCACTCCATCCCGAGGTCAGGAGGGGTCCCAAGCTCCCAAACCAGCGCGAAACGCTGGGGACACCATTTGGGACAGAAAGACATGTGGTACCCTCCGGGAAGGGGAGGGAGAAGGAGGAAGGGGGGGAGGAGGAGGAGGAGGAACAGCAGCAGCAGGAAAGATACCAGCAGTGTGGAAGCGAGGGCAATGAGCGCACGGTGTATCATCCTCGTGACGCGCAGCGTCAGACTGCCACCTGGTCTTCTCAGTTTCAGCTACTCGTCGCCAGCACTCCTGAAGCTCCTCCTCATCACCCCTGCTCCTTCCTCATGTTCCTCCTCCTCCAACTCATCCGCCTCTTCCTCATCATCACCGCAATCAGCATCATCAACAGCATCATCTGCAGCAGCGGCAGCAGCAGCAGTAGCGTCATCCTCAATCAATATATCAATCACCAAACCATCGGCATCACCATCATCTCATCATCGTGATCATCAGCATCATAAGCATCATCATCATCACCATCATCGCCATGACCACCACCATCACCATCACCATCACCATCATCATCAACATCACCATCATCAGCATCATCGTCATCGTCATTATCATCACCAGCAGCATCACCATCATCATCATCATCATCATCATCGTCATCTTCATCATCATCAGTACCAGCATCATCATCATAATCATCAGCACCACCATCATCAGCATCATCATAAGCATCACCACCACCCCCATCAGCATCATCATCGTGATCATCACGATCATCACAACCATCACCACCACCACCACAGCCACCACCACCACCATAATCAGCATAATCATCATCATCATCACCATAATCGTCATCATCATCATCGTCATCATCAGTATTACTATCATCATCATCATCATCATCATCATCATCATCATCAGCATCATCATCATCATCATCATCATCATAATCTTCATCATCGTCAACGTCATCATCGTCATCAGCATCATCGACATCATCATCATCATCGTCATCTTCATCATCATCAGTACCAGCATCATCATCATAATCATCAGCACCACCATCATCAGCATCATCATAAGCATCACCACCACCCCCATCAGCATCATCATCGTGATCATCACGATCATCACAACCATCACCACCACCACCACAGCCACCACCACCACCATAATCAGCATAATCATCATCATCATCACCATAATCGTCATCATCATCATCATCGTCATCATCAGTATTACTATCATCATCATCATCATCATCAGCATCATCATCATCATCATCATAATCTTCATCATCGTCAACGTCATCATCGTCATCAGCATCATCGACATCATCATCGTCATCGTCATTATCATCATCATCGGTATCGTCATCAGCAGCAGCAACACCACCATCGTCGTCATCATCATCATCAGCATCAGCATCACCATGATCATCGTAAACAGCATCATCATCATCAACACCATCATCAGCAGCAACATCTTCATGGTCATCGTCATGATCACCATCGTAATCATCATCATCAGCAGCACCAGCAGAAGCATCAGAATCCGCATCATCATCAACAACATCATGGTCATCATCATCATCATCGTCATCGTCATCGTCATCATCAATAACATCATAATCGCCCTTCCCAACACATCTTCCTCTCCATCTTCATCCTCCTCATCATCCTGATCCTCCTCCTGTTACTCTTCCTAATTTCCCTGCTCCTATTGTACACTCAAAAACAAGATGTCCGGACATGTCACGGAAGGTTGGCGCGCGACACTTAACCATCTGCTCTCTGCCGTTTGTTCCTCCTCCTCCGTCCTCCAGAATTCTCCAGAGGTCTCCGCAGCTTTCTGGAAATCCCTGGCTGCCTCCGGATGTCTCCCGAGGCCCAACGACTAGAATGTTTGAAACATGTACGGATATGCGACATTCTACTTCAATCCGCGAAGCTCCTCGGCGCTCTCCTCCTTCCTTCAAGCAATCAGAAGGCAGACGTCCAGACGTCCCATCTCGCACACTAGTTGGGACTACCCCTTTCACAAGTTGTTCATAATCAAACACATCCTGAGCGCTAGAATGATCTAAACTGTCTTCTGGATGCAGTGGGCGTGCGATGGAGATAACGACGGAGAAGGGGTGAAGAGAGCCAACAGTAGACTGCAGGAAACACTGGTATGCAGACAATCGGGGATGTGAGCTCCTCGTCTAAAGATGTGATCGTCTCCTGGGCCAGCTTGGAGTGCAACTCCTGAGCGGCACAAGTAAGCGGTGGAAAGCACAGGCTTTTCCTCCGAAGCGCCAGAGGATCCAAGCGGCGGGCAGTCACAGTGGCGAGCTGCGCCCAAAGTCTCCAGAGTCCCTGCGAAGCAGCACGGCGAAGTCACACTCGCACGCGGGCCGAATACTAAGAAAGACAATACCCACCGGTCGGAAGAAGTAGGTTGAAACAGGAAGTAGGAAGGCGCTGGAAGTAGATTGGGTTTCCGCCCGGCCGCCTGAAGAGGAGGGAAGAGGAAAAGCAGCCCGACCCTTGAATTTGGAGGGCGCCTAAAGCAGATTGGGATCGGAAATCAAAAAATACCTACTTTCAACGACCGGCGTGTGTGGTGCGCATGCCCGCGCGCGCTTCAGTTGGGGCAGGGCGACGCACACACACATGTCAAGAGATCTTCCACGAGAAACCGAACCCCGAGACCCCAGGGCGTCCATGGATGTTCGGTGTGGGAACGTCAGGCTTTCCATTGCAAAACCATCGAAACCCAAGAACCCAGGGCTCCCTGGAGGCAAGCAGGGTGTTTCTTGGCGTGGGCTTCCACTGTAGGGATTATACCAGGGTCGATCGATTAAAGAGCTCGCTGCACTGGCAATCAGTCGCACGGAAGGCCAAGTCGGAGAGTGCAATTAACGTTTACACCATAATTATACATCTTCAGGGCCGAATGGTGTTGAGCCGTCAAGGTAATCGCAAGGTTGATATTAAGTGAGCGGGAAGCTTGAAATATTGAGGATGTATCGAGGTTGACGTGTTATGGCTTGTGTGGCCTGGGTCTGGTAACAAGCGTCGCGCCCTGGTTACGACAAGACTAAACACGTATCAAGCAGCCCAGATGGCGAGCACGCTAAGACGCTCGGCGCGTTTGCAAGACTGGGAGGACCTACAAAACCTGAATACCTCGAGGCCCCAGGCGATCCCAGGAATCTCCTGCAGTGGCCCTGCTCTGTGCCACTGGTTGGCGGCGCGCACAGTGGGGTAGGGGGAGGGGGGAAGGCTTCTTAGAAGGAGCCTGCTTCTTAGAAGGCGCCGGCCCTGCGTCTACAGAGAAGGCCCGCGCCTCCTAAGGAGCAGGGGTGCTTCTAAGAAGCCTCCCTCCCTCCCCCTTACCCCCCTCTGCGCGTGGCCGAGCTGGATCGTACCGCATCGAATCGAGTCAGAATCGCTCGCGGCCCCTGGCCGGCGAACTCGGACCGCACCGGCTCGGGCCGCGGCGGGCGATCGCCCCAAGCAGCCCGCCTGGCTCTGCCTCTGCAGCTCCACGTCCTCCCTCTGCTTCTCCAGCGCCTGCCCAGGCCCGTGCCGGGGGGGGGGGGCAGGGGGCGCCGGGGGCCCCGGTGCGGCCGGGGCGCTCGCCGCCTCGGGAGGTGGCGTCTCCCCTCCCCGTCATCTCTCCCTCCGCGCGGCCGCCCGCTGGCGCCCAGCAGGGCCAGGCGCGACGCGGGGCCTCTCCTGGGAGGCCCAGGGATGTCGACGCCAACACCGAGATCGGCGGGGTGCCTCCGCCGAGGGAAGGTGCTCCCGATCTCGGCGATTGTGGTCCTGTTTTGGCCTCCCGGGTGGCCGAGGTAGTACCACCAGCACGGGATTCTGGGATCGCCTTCCCCTGGTGGAGGCATGCCGCATGCCCGTGTGCTGGTGTCGGTGCCCGTTTCCAGGCCTCCAGTCTCTCCTCGCCCTGGCCCTGCTCCGCCTGCAGCTCAGTGCAGCCGCTTGCGCGCTAGCAAGCGCGCTGCCGGCCCAGCGCAGGGTGCCAACGGAACTGCACAAGCACGCCGCAGCGCGGCACCTCGCCCAGAAGCGGAGGTCCGCGCCGCGGATCGCCTACCGGACGGGCATCGGGCCACGTGATGGCCTCTAGCATCTCCGCAGCGCTCCTCCCTCCTCCCCCCTCTCCCCCCTCCGCCTGCCTCTCTTGGGGAATAGAGGAAGACGTAAACAAAAACCTTGTCTGAGGTCCTCGCGCCCTCCTTGGATCGGCGCTGGACCCCCTCCCTACAACGTATGTTCAGATGATTGTATGTTCAGAAAACTGATATGGGGTCCGCGCGGGCCCTCTACAAATTATTCAGATGACGTATGTGCACATGCAACTTCTATGATATGGCTCTTGGCCCCCGCGACAGGTGCAGCGAATGACCAGCAGCCATGGTCAGGATGTTTTTGGTGTCATTCTGAGACGGCCCCCCGCCATCTCGAGAGGTGTCTGGTCCCTCCTCGCGCCGCCCCCCCGCTTCTGTTCTCTCGCGAATTTTGCTGCATCGAGTCCCTCGACCCTCCGCGGGATGTCACTGGCAGACGAGGGAGCAACGATCAATCATCCTCACGGGGAGTTGCGATCGGAGAGCCCACAGCGCAGGCGATACAGTGGGGGCCAATATAGAGGAGTGAGAAGACGTGGGGTCGGACCCAGCTTCAGCAGGGCATGCGCGCAAGCCAGCCTGCTGAGCTGGGTCTGCCAATTTCCGCGGAGTGCGCGCACAGTCAACACGCTTTCGTGTATGCGAAGATGCTGCGATGGGCCCGGTACCAGTACTCTGCACTAGACCTGGCTCCCACTTTGCTTCCCCCATCTCAGCGAGCAGCAACAACAACGCCGCTGGTCCGTCCTTCCCACGCGCGCGCACTCTGGCAGAGTGGCCGATCCCCACCCTTCTCGCACGCGCCGGGGCTGGCAGTGCAGCTGACGACCTCCACCTCCTCCTTCAACATCACTTCCCCGACTTCCCTGACCAGCGACAAGCATCTCCAGCCACTGCCCGCCCTTCTCACTCGCTCTGATGCCGACACTTGGGCTGATGCCGTCCGTCTCCAACTTCAACTGTCCGATGTCCATCAGCATCGACAACGCTTCCGAACCCGGCCAGGCGTTCTCGCACGCGCTGACGACACTGTCGCTGGCGACCGCGGGCTTCAGTGTCGCCTCACACGTCTGACTGAGCGGCGGCAAGGCCCAGTGCCACTGTCCATCTTACTCGCACGCGCGGGCCCCAGCGTATAGCCTGTGTTACTGTTCTGCTTTCGCAGCAGCGCGGCTGCGTCAGGATGCAACTTCACCTCCCTGATCTCGTCCACCAGCCGCAAAGCCCGCTGACACAGCCGGCCCTCCTTGCACCTCGAGCTTTGGGTCATGACGGTCGGCCTCGGCTGCTCCTCCCACAGCTCGCTGAGTAGCGCCAGAGCCCGCTTCATCGGCTCGCCCTTTTCACACGCGCTGAAGCCAGCACGCCTATATCACTGAGCAGCGCCAAAGCCCGCTGCCACTGCTCGCCCTTCTCGCACGCGGTGATCCCAACGCTGTAGCTGACTAGGGCGAACCCGTGGACTATGTCCACGAAAGCTCGTGACAAAGTCTCGCGGGGTCTGCGCGGAGATGTTGCCGACAGGCTCTCAGGATGGCGGTGGGGTCGAAGCCGCAGTGGCCACCAGCGTGAGTCTGAGGCCCCTGGCAGCTCATGGGGCATCCAAGACGGCCCGTCTGCCCTCCCCCTCTCCTGGAGGCAAGCCTGAAGCTACTGAGAACCCGGAGGGGGCCGTTTGGGAGCCTCTCGGAGCGTCTTTTGGGCGTTTGGGGGCTGCGGGGGGGTTCTGTTCGGGCGTCCTGGGTGTCTCTGGGGCCGTATTGGGGCCTTCGGAGGCCGGCGCAAGGGCCTCTTGGGCCGTCTTGGGCCGTCCTGGGCAGTCGCGGGACCGTCTCGGGGCACTCTTGAAGAGTCTTGGGGCACTCGTGGGACCGTCTGGGGGCACTCTTGGAGCGTCTTGGGCGTCTTGGGACGACCTCGCTGGGTCCTGGAGCAGTGTTGGGCCGTTCTATGGCCCAGGTGGCAAGAGCCTGGGAATCCTTCAAAAGCAATGGCAAATCTATGATTTTGGCCGGCTCAGGGCTTGGCGGGGAGTCTCCTGGGCCGTCTTGGGAGGCTTCTCGCCTGTCGTCGGGCACTCTTGGGCTTCCCTGGGGCTCGCTGGGGGTCCGCTCGGGCCGTCGGGGCGCTCTCGCGGGCGGCTCTGAACCGTCTTGGGGCCGTCCGGGGCTCTCTAGCCTTCGTGGGAAGGCCCTCCGAAGCCGTCGTGGAGCGCCTCGGGGCCGCCCGGGAGCGCGCGGGGCCCGGCCGGAGGGCTCTCTACGCTGCGGCTCGCTCTTGGGAGCCTTGGTGAGAAGAGCTTTGTACTTCACCGATCGCTCTTTTAGTGGGCGTCTCTGGGCTTGGTGGTCCTTGTGGGGGTCTTTTTCGGACCATTCTGAGGCTTTTTCTGGCTGCGCTGGAAGCGTTTTGGGACGTCTTGGGGCCATTTTGGGCCGTCACGGGGCGTCCAGGAGGCCTTGGACTTTTTTGGAGCTCTCTTGAGGCTGCCTGAGGCCGTCTTGGGAGCCTCTTAGGGCCCCCTCGGAGCTCTCTTGGGGCCGTCTTGGGGTTCTGTGAGGCTGTTTCAGGGCTCTCTGGCGTCGTCTTGGGGCTCTTGTGGGCCGTCTTGGGGCCCTCTTAGGGGCCGCTGGCGTCTTCTTGGGGCGATTTGGGAGGCCTCTTGGCGTGTCCTGGGGCGCTGAGGAGCACACAAGGCGGGCATGCTGAAAATATACGCTTTCCTATAGGAATTTGACGATTTGTGCCTCTTTGGCGTGCGCTCGGGGCCCTCTTGGGGCGTCTTTGCGGCCTCTTGGATCGTCGTGGAGCCCCCCCCCGAAGGCTTCGGGCCCTCGTGGACCGTTTCGGGACCCACTGAGGCCGTCTTGGAGCGCTCTTGGACGGTCTGGGAACCCTCTGGAGCGCCTCTGGGACCGGCCTGAGCGATTCGGCCCCATGGTGGCGCAGTAAAGGGGCGATTTTGTGCACTTCAGGCCCTGGGCTTCTCGCACGCGCTTCCACGGCCATGTAGGAGAGACTAGGGCTGACCCGTGGACTTACGTCCACGACAGCGCAATCGCAAGCACGGATGAAGATCGCGTACCTACTAGCCTGCTTGCGCGTTGTCATGGGAGAATGGCCGCTACCCGGCTGGCATGTCAACGCCATAATAACAACGTGTTTGAACGATGGATGGCGAAACTGATATCATGCGTGATGCGCTGCCTGTTTGATTTCCTGCGTGCTTGGTTATGTCATCGATTGCTCGTCATCTCGCTGACGCTTACTGCCGCTTGCTGATGCTTGGTCCTGGTTGAAATTGGTTGCCACGGATTTGAGCTTCTGCTGTATCTGCCTGCTTGCTGGTGCGGGCTTCTGCTTGCTGCAGCTAATGTTTGTTTGCTGCTCAATGCTGGTGCTCTCAATACGTACTACCGCTGGACCGCTGCTTGCTCCTTCTTGCTACTGCTGCTGCCTGCTGCTGGAGGCTGACTTTTAGTTGTCCTAGTTACGCTTGCTTTCTTGACCTGCTAGCGTGCTGCCCTCCTGATGTGGGTGCTGACATCTTGGCACGGAAGAGTACTCGCCCGTTTGCCTGCTTGCATGCTGGCCTGCTGGCCCCATTTCTCCATTCGCTTGTTCCCGCTCGCTGTGGGTTGCTGTTGCTCAGTGCGGCTTGATGATCATTGCTGCTGTTTGGCGCCTTTCGCTTCTGCTGCTGCCAACTGTTGGCTGGTGCGGATGCTGCTAGCTGTGGCTTGGTGTTCCTTGCTGCCTGGTGTTTGCTGACTATTGCTGATGCTTGGTGCGGCGAGGTGCGGCTTGGTGCTGGCTGTTGCCGCTTGTCTGCTGCTGCTTGCTGCGCGCTGTTGTTTACTGTCAATGATATGAGCACGTGCTGGTGGTGCCGTCTTGCTGCTGCTCACCGATGCTGGTTACTTGTAATTGCTGCCGCTAGCTGCTCGTAGCTGCCACTGAGATCTGTGCTGCTACGGCTGGGGGACTTTGGGGTCGTATTTGGAGACCTCCTAGATGAGGTCCGAGTAAATGGGGTCGCAGGCTCGCGCCGCATCGCCGATGCATCGGCGATGCGGCTCGATGTGGAGCCCGACATTCTCCACGCCGACGTCGCCGATGCTCCGACCTCATCTGCCCTGACCCTATCAGGAAGGTCTGGAGTATTATAGCGTCTTGCGGCCTCTTGGGGCCGCCCCGTCCCGAGGCTCTCTGGTGACCTTCTGGGCTGTCGTGCCGCCCTGTGAAGGGGCTCTCCAGCGCCGTCGCGGGGCTCTGGGGGCACTCCTGGGGCCATCCTGGGGCTCCTTTGGGGCCGTCTTGGGGGGCTTCCTGGAGCGCGCTGGGTCCCTTCTGGGGCCTCGGGTGCCACATGTTCCAACACACAGTACGGCATGAGCATAAACTTCTGGAGCTCCGCGCGGGCCACCTTTGGAGCTCCGCGCAGGAGGGCGTATCCACCCTCCTTCCTTTCTTTTAAAGACGGAGCTAGGACGAGGATAACATCTGGTAAGGAAAAATCGAGAATCTCTGAGATCCAGCGGATCTGGAGGATGTCTCGGGCGCCGCGGCCTTCTCAGAGCATTCCCGAAAGGTTTGGGAGCATTCCAGAACGCTCTAGAACGGATTTATCCTCGTGGATGTCTTGGATCGGTGCTGGTTCCCTCTGGCGGCGCCTCCGGCGCCGACACCCTGGCGGTGCCTCCGGGCGCCAAGAAATCGGCGCGGACCGTCGAAAATGCATGTTTACAGTAGGAGCCGACCACAAAAAACCTTCCACAAGCAAACGGGTCACTCGTAGTCCACGTGAGGCGTGAGGCACTGGCGGGTGGAAGTGGGGACGAGAAGCTCGGGAAGCAGAGAGCACGCGAACTGCCACCGCAGAGCGCTCTTATCATAGCAGCGACAAGATGCAGCGCCACAGGGGAGCACGGCGCGCTAAGCTTCTGAATGGTTCTGATCACTTTGAGGTTTCCAATGGGGTCTCGGCCCAGCCCACCAACCACCCGAAAGCCGCCCAACTTGCATACTGATCCCATCGGCATCCCAGCGCAAGACGGCCCAAATGTAGACCCCAGGACGGCCAAGATGGCCTCCACGATACCTCCAAGACGGCTAAAATGGCCTCCAAAACGATCCCTAAACGCGTCCAAGACGGCAAAGATGGCCCAAGACGGCCCAAGATGTCCTTCAGAAAGCCTAAGAAGCCCCCGAGGCGCCCCAAATGTGACCCAAGAGGACATTCAGGAAGCCAAAATGGTTGATTATCTTAGGTTTCTCAATGGTTGTAGCATTCTCGCCTCTCTGGGCTTCCGACACTCCAACACGGCCACGTGTGGCCCGAAGGTTGCCCGAAGACAGCCCCTTAGGCCCCAAAGAGGCCCGCAAGACGGTCCACGAGACCCCAAAATGGCCAAGAGGCCCCCAAGGCGGCCGCCAGAACCCCATAGACCTCCAACACGGCCCTGCAGCAGCAAAAGAAAAGGCCTCCAGTGGCCCCGTGGCCCCCAAGAGGCCCCCAAAAGGCTCCTAAGAGGCCCAAGCGGCCCCCAAGAGGCCCCTTCAGAGGCCCCCGAGAAACTCCGAGGAGTTCTCCTCTGGCTTTGCTTATCATTATTCCTCCTCTTCTCCGATCAGTAACCATATTATAACACTCAGCCGTTAGCTTCTTGTTCCTATCAATCGTAATATTACTTTTCGCACCAATACTGTTCATACTGGTATTAATACTGTGCTTCGTATCATTGGCACTCATAGTATGAGTAAAAGCCGTGTTTAGTCTGGTGTTACTATGAGTCATCCAGTTCGTTGTTAATGTTGTGCGTAATACCAGCATAACCATATTAATAATATGTCGTGTTATTCGCATTCGTCTTAACAGTTTCGGTACTTGCTACATAATAGTATCTGATGTATAGTACGATTGTGTATGTTAACGTTACTATTGATAGTAGTATCATTCGTATTGTGAAGTTCAACAATCCTCTTTCTAGTTTGAACATTCGGACTACTATTAATAGTTCGTGCTGTGTTTGTTTTGTTCCCTCCTCCTCCTCCTCCTCCACCTCCCCATCCTCCTCCTATTCCTCCTTCGCCGCCCCTCTTCCTTATAGATAAGTCCCCCCCGTCGCACCCTGAGGCGGGTCGGTAGAGCAGGCCCGGCATTTCGCCTGAAATTTCCTCACCATCTATGATCATGAAGCGTAGCAATCTGCAACAGCTTTACTGGAGGGCGGGTCGCTTTCAAGATGTGGCTCTCGCCTTAACGCCTCGCGCATTCAATTTGAAAATGCAGAAGGATTTCACGGACGGATGGTCGTTCCTTTTCAAGCGGTGGCTCTCGCTTGAGCGCCGCGCGCACTCGTGTTAAAAATTGCAGGCGTTTCACGGACAAAGGGCGGATCGTTTCCCAAATGCGGTTCTCGCCTCAGCGTCGCACATTCGTTTC